CTATAACAAATTATGTCATTAAAGGTGTGAACTCCCTAGTACCGGGATTAAAGGTGTGAGCCACCACTTGGATCTGTTTCTGCATTGATCTTGTGTATCCCACAGTAGTCTTGAAATCACAAAGATCCATCTACCTCTGTCTCCAAGATCCTGGGATTAAAGGTGTATAACACTACTGCCTGACCTCTAATGGCTTATTTACCTTCTGATCTTCAGGCAAGCTTTATTTATTAAAACATAAATAAAATATCACAATAAACCCTATCTAGACTCCTAGATGGTAACAGGAAGTCTAACTAAGTAAAATCCCGAGAACTCGTTAAAATAGTGATTCATGTTTTATACTCTTTACAAGCTATATTGGGATGAGTAATGTTCATGTGCATATATGTATGTGTGCATGTGTTTGTATCCATATTTGGCATGCTCATGAAAGTTATGTGTTTATTCAGTGACTTGTCACTCAACAGTAAAAAAAAAATTAAAAATTGAGGATTATGAGTTGACTTCAGTTACTGAAAGCTAGAATATAAGTATCACTAAAGACAGATGAGTGAGGACAGATAAGAACTTAACCAAAGTTAATAAAGTCATGGGAGAAGAATATCTAATTCCTCTCAAATTATATGGTAAATTTATAAATTACATTCCAAGAGCTACATGTGTCACTAGCTCATGCTTGAGGCCCTGTATTTAAAACTGTCTACCACACACAAAAAACTAAAATTAAAAAAAATCAATTAGAAAGGAAGACCTCATCCTACCTAGTTTCTATGATTGGGAATAAATAAAACACATAACTAACCATTAATCAAAGTCACTTGGCATTTTTGAATTCCTAATAGAAGAAAAGTTTTGCTTTGTTCAAGTGTCTGGATACAAGATAGACACTGTAACCCAAGCACCAGCTTTCCTGCCAGGAATTAACCCTCAAGATGTGACAGACAAATGCTAATGTGATTTTACCCAATAACTCAAGAAAGACTCAGTTTACTCCGCTAATTAGATCATCACTATCAGCACTCTCTTCTGGGAAACAAAAGCAACAGAACCTTCCCAGGTTCTCATGGTCATTCTACAGTCATCTCATGGCGATAGCCTCACTGTACTCAGGAAAAGGAAAACTTCATTTCCACAAGTGAAGTCTGTTCATCAGTTCGGTGAGCTACAAAGGCAGAAATGTTCTCAGTTGTTTGTTTTGGTTTTGTTTGTTTTTGGTTTTTTCTTCCTCTAAAACTTCAGAGATGGGCAAGCCTTTTCTGTGAAAAAACAAACAGATTTTGTGGCTCTCTTTCCAGGTTTATACGAGACAATATTCCAATATAACTGTGCTCTTTTCTAAGATGGACTTCCTCACCAAGGAATAACTCCTGAAATTAAGATCCATAGTGTCTCAAGAATACTGTTTTACTTCTTGTCCACATACACAAAAAAAGATCAGGTTGGAGAAAATAATAAATCTCCTACAGGAAAACAACTGGGAGAAAAATTATCAACTTCAAGAGGTTTTCAAGTCATTATGTACAGCAAGTGTTCATTTCATCTTATGTCACTTTGTAAACAAAGTAACAATGCATGGCCTCTTGTTCCTCCCAAGTGCTCGGCATGCCCACATCTACCTTTTGCTACCCTCCTAGGCGCCACATTCATCTGCTCAGAGAGCAGGAGTTAGACATCATTGGGAAACTGGCCAGCTCCAAACTCTCAGCACTTTTATCTTAATAGGATTTTCCAGCAGTCATGTGGATAAGGATCAAACAAAGTAGCCTGGTCCTTTGGCTTTTAGAAACAGGAAAGTGTCTGTTAATGTGATTTCGGTATTGATAAATACCCACATTTTCCAGAAAGAAGATGGCATCATTTTCCATAGGCAGGAAGCAATTTCTCAGTGGAGAGACGTGCTCAAAAGCACAAGAAATGTAAAATGGTCGAGTTAAAAATCATAGTCCCGTGGGAAGTTATTTATTTTAATCAGTATTTACAAGCAGAAAGAAAATGTATTTTTATAATTCTTCCTTTCAGAAGTCAGCATTCTGATGAAAAAATCCCAACATTTAATAATATTAAGTAATTCCTGTTGAAGAATCTGGTTTCCCTAAATATTTGGACACAGAAGTAGAACAGCACCTGCATTGCGAGTTCTAATGATAAGAGGCATAATCTCTGTTGCTTTTTTCCATTTCCTTTCATCTCTTACGGGATGGCAGCAAGTTCCAAAGAAATCTCCAACACTGATTGCATGGATCCCTAATGAATATTTCCCTCACTAAAGGTACCTATATGTGTGATTAAGCAGGCTTGCCACCAAGGCTGCTGAACTGAATTCAATCCCTGGAACCCAAAAAGATAACTGACACCTGCAAGTTGTCCCTTGGCCTCCATACATAAACCAGTTGGCATACCTATCCAAGAGCACATAAATAAAGAAATATAAATAATTAAATAAAATTTTAAAAGAATCCAGATCGAGAGCCAAGGAAATGGTTCTGTGAGTAAAGTCTTTCCCACATAAGCATGATGACCTGATGAGAAAAAGGTCAGGAGGTGGCAGGTGCATGAAATTCCAGCAGTGGGGAGGTGAAGACAGGAAGACGCCAGAGACTCACTGGCCAGCTAGTATAGAGACACTAGTGAACTCCTAAGTTCAGTGAGACTGTCTCAAAACATACGGTGGGGGGCAACAACAGAGAAAGAAGCTGTACAGGGATGTACATTGGTGAGCGCATGCACACACACACGGCAGAGGGAGTCAGGATTGAGAGACCTTCTTAGATTATCATTTCACAGTGATTGCTTGTGAGTTGAAATAGTTACCAGATTTTGCCTGCCAAATGATGATCTTATGTATGCTTTTAGACTTTTAAAAATAAGAAATCCACACAATACTGCTTTTTTCCGAGTTATATCAAGAAGTCTTTGTTAGAGTAAGACCTAAACCCTCCAAATTAAAGAGAAACAAACAAACCTGGGGAGTTTGGCAGTTGTAAGCAGAATCCCAGTGCACAGCGCAATGGCTTATTATTCCTTTATTGCAAGGTGACAGGGATGACACACCACCGGACAGTTCTTCTCCCCATTATGGAGTGCTCATTGCCTCCTCCAGACCCCACTATTCATCATTCGAGCAGTTGGATCAGAAAAAAAAAAAAAAAAAAACAGAACAAGAGAAAATGAAAGATGAAGACACCTAGCAGAAAAGATGGAGATGTGTAGAGACAGAAAAACTGACATAGGGAAGAGGAGGAGGAAATAAAAGGATTCAGGGAAAGGCTAGAGAAGCAAATGAAAGATGAGAGAGGAGGTAGAAACCCAAGTGTGGCACTTTGTATCTAAGTAGAAAACAAATGCATATGGACCTTAAGAAATGTTAGGCTGGATGACAAATTAGACTCCGCTAGTATTTATTACAGGGATAAAGTTAATTATATTTCTATGGCTGGCTGGCTGGCTGGAAAGATTAGATCACATAGTAATTTGGATGCAATTATAATCTAGTAATAAGCCTTTCTTTAGATTTATGTTATCAACACTGGTCAAATTTCCCCTAAGTCAATAGTGCCTATTTGGTGTGAAAGTCAGACCTGTAGAACAATGAAGACATCTCAAGTGCAATGGGTTCCAATTTCAAAAATCATAGTCTTAGAATATAATAAATGTGATTGCCTTTAAAAAAATTCCCCCATGAAGCTACAAACTGAATATTAATTGAGAAATTTTGAGATACCTTCTGCATTAATTGATTTTTAAGAAAATATACTGTTCTCATGTGTGTGTCAGAGACAGGGGGGGAGAGAGAGGAGAGAGAGAGGAGAGAGAGAGAAGAGAGAGAGACTGAGAACAGCCAGAGGACAACCCAGTATCCAACAGTTTTGGTTTTAGTCTCTCAGACCTAGAACTCGGCACAGATGGGTTCATATGGGAAACACCAGCTGCCTGGCTAAACTTGTGGGTATGAAAGCACCTGTGAGTACTGCACTGCTTCTTCTGGGGAAGAGACTCTTGAGGCTGGAGGAGTATGTATTGTGGGGAAGCAGAAAGGGGCAGGAGAGCTTGGCCTTCTGGGAGCTTTCCCGTTCTCTGCCTCCATTGTCTGTGAAGAGAATGATGAGTTTTGATGATGGTGGCCAAGTCCAGTACCTGGATTGAGAAGTTGGCAGGCAGAAAATGGAAAATGTAGCCATGCGCCTGCACAATTTCCATCCATGGTGATATGCACAGCCTCCCATCTACCTCCTCTCCTGATTAAGAACTCTGGTTGTGCTGGTTGCAATTTTCCACTTGCCTAAAGATCCAAGGCTCAGTTGCACAGTGAAAACCCTAGAGGCAGGAATAAAGTCTTTCCAAAAGGAGGAAAGGTGAGTAGAAGTAAAAGCGATATGGGAAAAGGCATCTGAAGAGAGTTCCCAGGGACAGGATCAGAGATGAAGGATGGCACACACTGCCTTATGGAAGTGGTAGCTTTGGGAACTAAAAAAGAAAGGGAGTAATGTAGAAATAAATGATTGCTAGACTCCAGTGTTTTGAAAGCAGTAATCTTCTCTGTTTGGGGGATTATTAAAGGGTCTTCAGGATTTAAATAAACCATGGCAGACTGTCTCTCAACAGAATTTTAGAAAGAACCAACATTCAACCTAGGAGTCCAAGTGTGACTAGTAAACTTCCTCCAGCATTTATACCTGCTTCTAGCATAATTTCAGATTTCAGAAGGTAGACAAAGGTTTAGTTGTATCTCTGTGTTTGCTAATGTTTATCCTCCTGTCTAAAGTGAGGTGTTTCTGAGACAGGTTGGGATTTCACAAGCTCTTCCACCTTTTGCCAACCTGACTCCACAAAGACAGCTCTAAAAACATTGCTGTTTCTCAATATGCCCTGATCCATCCCCAGGATCACTCCTAGATCTTGAAGTGATACCTTAAAAACCCTTGCCATAAAACATTCATTAGATGCATGCTACATTTAGAACAGCTCCTTGAATTGTATTCACTGCTTAAAGTTCTCACCTGTTATCCCCATAGTGAAGAGAGACCCATGGAATGTGGGTCATTTGCTGAAGGTTTGTATCTCTGGAATGGGGTGGTACCAGGAGCCAGGAGCAAGAGGCTGCTCAGTGGCTGGTGTGGAATAACGTTGCTTTCCACTGTTTCAAAATCAGCACTTGGAAAGTCCTAAGGGGTAGATTGTTAACATTCACTCATTACTAACATAGGACTAGGTTACATAAACCCAAAATATTCCAGAGAATAAGCGGTTAAAGGAACATCTAAGTTGAAACCCTCTGTATTGCCCCACAAGTGTAGAATGTATTGTGTGTGATGCATTAGTATAATGAAATGCCATACTGAACCTCAATCCTTTTGACAGAGGTGAACCTTAAATATAGTATTATATTATTTTATAACAATTCCTTTTGCTTTTAAACTTTTTTTAAATGTTTTAAGGATTTTATTATCTCAAGGATTGCGGTGATCTAAGCCTACTGTAGGGAACAGAAGGCAGTCTGGAGTAATTAGGATTTGGATAACATGTTGTTAATATGGGTATCTGGTTTGAGTCAGTTAAAACATGGCTGACCCCAGACATTCAGGGTACTATAAGCAAATGATAGTTGACATTGGGTATTCAACAACATGCAGCAAAGATGTCATGTTATATTCCTGGCAGAAGGCCACTCTGTATTTTGTAGAAATATGCCCTTGAGAGCAGGGTCGAGAGCCCTCACCACTTGCCTTTTCCAGCTAGTCTGGGGAGGCTGTGAGACCACCCACAAACTATGTGCTGGACTACACATGTGCCCATGCCAAGTGTGAGGTCATGTGTACAAGTGTGTGCCTGCCAAAGCCTGCCTGACTAGCAATCTGTGTCCACAGTATATCTCCTCTGCCTACATCTCCCCCCATCTTCTTCAAACCCCACCCTCCAATGTCCCTCCTACTCTCCTGGCTTCAGATCCTGGACTTCAGACCTGTTGTCTGTTGAACAGCTTCCTTATGTGACTGTAATTCAGACTGAGTTCAATGATTTTTTAAGCCATGTTGAAGATATTTTCAAGAGCAATTTTCTTAAATTGTTTCTGCCAGTACACCCTCCTCCTGCCCCATTAGCCTTCGTGTTATTATTTATAAAGAGAAGGGGTGGTGGTCATAGAAAAGGCAGTGGCAGGCCACCTGAGGCCTCGGTGGGAGACAGATATGCCATGCAGAGAGAGTTTGAGTATAGAGTTTACTTAGTGGGTTATGGATGGGAAAGGGGAGAAGGGGAAGGAAGAGAGAGGCAGAAGCTGCCTCTCCAGAAGGAGGGCCATGGGGGGATAGATGAAAGTGGGGGAGAGGCAGTAGTTACCTCTTCAGGAGAAGAACACAGAAAGAGCAGGTTGGAGAGGAGGCTGGAGATCCAAGGATTCAAGTGTGTGTGTGTGGGGGGGATGTTGGAGTGGGCAGGGCTTGTCTCTTAAAGGGACAGGTACCCAGGTGACATACCAGGCCAGCAGATTACAACACTTCATATGAGAAATGTTTGGCTTAGGTTTTTTTTTGGTTTTTAAGTGTAAGAAGCTAATGTGAAATCAAACACCAACTTACTTAAAGCCAGGTTCATGTCTATGGTTTTAGGGGACTCTTCTGTCTGCACAGAGACCTGTCCAAGAGAGAAGCTTTCTTGGCCTTCATGTACTGATGGGTTTTATTTTATCAAGGATGGAGATGAGAACTTTCAGTTACTTCAGTTCATTCCCACCCATGACAGCCAAGAACCTATAAACCATGTAGTCAGTAGCTTCCAGAGGAAGTGGGCTCTTCACCACTACCACCACGACAGACCTAAGAGTTCCTTTACTTGTCCATTAATTTTCTAAGCTCAACTCAGCCCTTAAAATTAGCAGTCATAGTAGTCATACTATAGCCAAAAGTTCTAGTCTTTGTAGTTTCTTCCGATTTTCTGTTCTACTACATTGCTTACTACACATTATCTTAGAGACTCACATCTAAAAATTATTTCTATTAAACTATTCCCAAATTATTTGTATCAGAAACGCTCTACTTTCTGATGGCAAAAGACTTTTCAATTCACAGGATTAAGCAGAATCCCACTTACTATACACATGGAATCTATAAATTACCAAGTATCAAAGTGTGGGAGCCCCAGCAGTGGATCCGCTCCATCTTGACTGAAGGTCAGAGAACTTAAGCCTACTCTTGCTCTTTCAAAGTTATTGACAAGAAGTCTGACCTCAGGAGAGGCTACAAACAAGATATCCTGAGCTACGGTGTGGTTACTTGGTGTTTTGGATATTAAGATGGCCTGTAGAGGTGGATCTGCTCCACCTTGACCAAAGGTCAGAGAATTCAAGTCTAGTTCTGCTCCTTTATTTTCAAGACCAGAGGCTTGACCCAGGGAGTGGCTGCCTACAGGATTCTTGGTTCAAGATGTTGTCACTGCATGTCCTGCCTAAAATATCAAAATGCTTAACTCAGGAAATAGCGGCTTGATTTCTCAAGTATTGACGCAAGTAACTGCTCTGTTTGTCTTTTGTGTCATGTTAAAGCAGTCTTTTGCCTTCTTCCCTCCTTTTTGGATTGGGGTATATAAGCATATGGAAAATAAAGGCAAAAGTATTCAACATTCAGGAGTCACTGAGTTAACTTCCCAGTACTCTATGTCTCTGTATCTCTTTTGTATCTCTTGTCTATTCTGCCTAACATCTCTAATCCACACACCCCTACTCTGGAATGGACAAACCCATCGAGGCTGGACACCGACATCAAAGTCACTGAAATGGGAGAAAATATTTTTGGAAAGATGAGCAAGAAACTGCTTAGCCATCACTTAGTCATGACAAAAGAGAAGCAGGGCCAAATTCTACCTGAGGAGTAAATTAGTGAAGAACTTTCACTAAGGTTCATCCACCCAGGAACAGATTTCTGAACTTTACTTTGGTAGAGACTGAGAAAATATAAACTTAAGTAACCGCACCCCATGCCCATCATCCACAGAAACAGCTCCCTGCTGTCTTCCAAAAGGGACAAATCAAATCTCCATCCATCAGTGTGTGAGACGTTCAAAAAAGCCACTCACCTTTACGCCTCTGTACTTCTGATTGCTGCAGTGCTGGGAACAGGTAAGTTGAAAGAAGAGTCTTCTATAAATCCTAGGAGACCAGGAAGGCCAGCATCTTGGAAAAACAGCAGTCACTTACTAAATGCCAGCCCTGGCCATGGCAAGTACCCTGAGACTTTCCAGACATTACAAAGACTGTGATGTGTCGAGAAGCCCTCATATCTTTGGCATTAACCTTGAGCACATGGCAGAGATTTCACCAAGTTCAGGTAAAAGAGGTGGAAAATGAAGTCAGAGAATAAACACAGAAGAAAATTATTTTCTTAACAAAGTAATATTTTCAACTGCCTCCACAAATACTTTTGTGTGAAAATATTTATGAAAAAGCAATACACCATTCTGTTTCATTGGTCATCACTACCATTAATTAAATTTTGACACAATAAAAATGGCAGTATGTAGGCTCAAGGTTATGTACAATCCCCTGATCAGAGACTTTGTAATGCAGGCAATGCAGTACTTGAAACAATACACTGATTCCTTATTTCAGTTGCTACACATCTATTTGAGAGAGCACAGAATACATAGATAAAGTAAAATAAATACAGTGGGATAAATAATCAAAATTAATACAAAGAATAAACATAGACATTTTATAATGTACAGACTTACAAATGAACAGTTTTAGTATAAAAATTGCACTTATACAAAGCGGTCTAGAAACAAAATTCAACCACATTAGAAACAAGTCACAGCCACATGTAAACAGAACCACAGTCTACACACAACTCTAGAGAATATGCCTGTAAGGTCCATGTGCTAGGCTGAAGGTGGCCAAGGTTTCTCTAAGTTGAATCTCTGCTTTGAGTAGCTGCTCAAAGAACTAATCCAGCAGGTTTCATCAGACTCAACCTTGGCTTCTATCAGATAAGCTACAATCTCAAGAGGATCAAATCCAAGAATGAGGTAATGAGACACAATACTGCGAGAGTCTCTGTTGGCACAAATATTTACACAAATACTTTCCAAACAGTTGACAGATCTGACAGCTAGTCAATTGCACAAATACAATACTGGCAGAAATAACAGCAGGAAAATAAAAGGAAGAACACAGAAAACCTGCAAACACCAGCAAAAGTACTCATCTCCCCTTCTTTCTCTCACTTGAGGCTTAGGATTTTATGCTGAAAGAACATTCACCCTTTTTAATCCTTTAAAATTTTCCTTTAGACTCTATTGTTTCCCATCTTGCAAAATGTCACACAGTAGATATGCCTTTAACTAGCATTTTAATTACCTCCCCAAAAGATGTTACAAGATATACTTATTCAAGCTTACACACACTCAAACCAGGTGACGATGTCTTAATTATAAGTCACGGGTTTGCACCTAAAAAGTAAACGTGTGGCTTTCTCAAATGTCAAAGCTGATCTGTCTCAAGCTTCTTTCCCTTCTATTGCACTAGTTATTAGATAACAGGTACAGATTCTACTACAAGATGAGACTGTAGTGACTACCATGCAGTTCAATGGCTGTGAAGTAAATGAGCCACCCCTTATCTGTTCCATGATTATCCTTCAAAACAAAACAATAAAAACAACAAAAAAGTGAAATTTCCTGTGCACTGCCTCCATGAGATTCTAAGCAAGCTGGCATGGTATAGCACAAATAAAGAAATGAACAGTAAAAGAAATTTAAAAAGAGAGAGGTAACTAGTTTTCAGACATTCCAATAAAGAACAAGGCACCTTATCCTAACTATCTGTACATAAAGCACTGCACACCCTTATTCCACAGTTACTATCTCATTTACCCAATTTTAACATACCGAAAATAGTATTCTATAATTAAATAGCAGATATGGCAGTGGAGGAGAAGCATAGTTAGTTTATATATATATATATATATATATATATAAAATCATTTTTCCATGCACTTAACTTCTGGATTAAATTTATTATGTACACAAAAATAAAGCATATTAAATGATGATCTAATTTTAAGTTGACTTTTCTCCTTTAATTTTATATCAAATAAGTATTGAAAATAAACCTAAAGGCTTCAAATGGAAAGAAATTAAATTAGTAAGTACTTACTGGACTATTTACTAGAAATCCAATTTTTTGCCAGGATGTTAAAAAAAGGAAAGGCTAGGAAAAATAATTCCTACAGATAAATATAATTTTACTGGACTGGACCTTCTTCTTTATGACTTTTTTCTCCTACTTTCCTACTTATTTTAAGTATTTTTAAGAAAGGAAATGTATAATCTCACTTATTATTAAGTACTGTTTGATCTAATTGGAAACTGGCTTTGATACATTTCTAAAAGCCAAGGCAGACTAATTCTCAAGCCTTCCCTCTAGTTAAACATCCCATTAAAATCCAGTACTTCAGTTTGCAGGAGGGGTACTACTCAGAACAGAGACACGGAGTCTTCCCTTTCCCACTAGACTGACCTCGGTTACTGTAACAAGAGAAGAAATCCACTGGCAGGAGAGAAGGAACATCTTAGCTCTAGCAGGAAGACAAAGGGCACCACAGAACCATAGGTCTTTTGAGTAAAGATGTGTCAGAGGACAGGAACATGGAAGGGCAGGAAGGTCACCTTTTCCTTTGTTCTATGATGGCCTCAGCCTTGAGTTAACAGTTAACTACGTTACAAAGATGAAATAAAAACATTTATAAAGAATGGATTGTCACAAGAAAATCTTCCTTTGTGCAAGGTTTGTAGCAGCATCATGCAGTGAGGGGGGCAGATTCTGAACCCTATCACCAGTGAACCTCCTGTTTGCAGCTAATACAGAGAAAACTGCATAACCTTTTTTAAACAAGACAGACTCATTATTCTGACTCAATCGAAGGGTTACATAGAAGATTGACTTTAGGCATATTTCATATACCTAGTTGACTTTATGAATTTATTCTAAGGCCTGAAAGGGTAAGAGAGGAGTTGGAGAGATTTTTTTTTTTAAGATGCTGGGATTGCTTGATACTGATACCAGACTGAGTAGATAGAGATAATGATATAATTCTCTCGAGAATTAAGGAAGACAAAACCAAAATCAAATCTTTCATCTCTTGAAATTGACTTTCGTAAATTTTTTTCACCAAAAGCACATCACTGAAAGGAAAGTAGACATGTTTCTCAGTTATTATTAAAGTGGTTCTTGAGGCAGGAACCCCTTGAGGTGGAAACTAAACAACACAGACCTGAAGCCAGCACACTTTGGGGTTCAGAAAAACAAAGAATGTGGCTAAACGAACTCTTGAAGAAGTTATCCTGGAAGTATTACAGGCTGACCAAAACCAGCTATTTGTCTGTACTGGCCCTATAAAACACCTACTACCTTTTGAATTTCCAAAGATTGCATGCTTTTGAGATACTTGGCAGTCCAAGCCTCATCAACAGTGGTTACTGATTACCTAAAGCTTTAAGTCAAATGAGAGTAATGGATCCTGCTATCTGCTGCTCTCACTACAGAGCAGTTATGAAACATGCGGTAATCTTCAGTCCCACAGTGAAGAAGCCACAGGAATTAAATGGAGAAAATAAAACAGAGACCAAGAGAGCTCAGATGACTCACCAGCATCTTTCTCAAGTTGTATCTATACCTAGGTCTCTAGAATTTCTGGCCCCAAGAGAGTGTTTGGGGGGGCATAGTACCCAATGTTTCTTACATGACAAAAACAATGCTTAACCATTGAGATTTTTCCTGTACTTCCAGGGTGTTCAGGACCAATGTGGTTTTGCTCTCATTTTATTTAGGCCAGCAGCCTCGTTTCTAAAGGTGCTATGGAGGACTGGAGAGGAGTCCTCTGGTTGACTTTTTGGCCCCCAAGTATATCAACTTGTTCTTCACCTAAAACCCTGCAAAGATCCTTACACCATGGTGGCTGAGTGCTGTCCCTGGCTCTCTTTAGGACACAGAGGCTTACTACCATGTGACCACAGGACCAGAGATCATCTTTTAAGAGTAAACACTGTTCATTCATGAAAAAAAATTAAATACTAAATAGAAACTAAGGATTTGGCTTAAACTGCAGACCAGAGGGAAGCAGACTTATTTTTCTTGCCTATATTTTTAGAAATGGCATCATGAAATCTATGGTCCCTTGTTTGCATGCTGACTCTTGCGCTGCCTCAGTGAGTCTTCCACCACCTCCTGCATATCCACTGAATGAGCTTCATCAGCTTCACGTTCCTTCTGGGACACACTGCCTTCCTGTAGTACTTCTTGGTCATTGGCGTCACTTCTTTCCTCATCCATGATGCCTGCCAGGTTGTCCTCTTCCTCATATTCCTCTACTTCATCCTCATCTACAAGGTCCTCTTTCTCTTCCTCATCATCCACAAGACTGTCTTTGTTTTCTTCTTCATTTGAGTCATCCTTTTCTTCTTCTGCATCCTGCAGCTGCTCAGCTCCATGAACATCCTCCGGCCTCTGATCCTGCTCTATGGACAGAAGAGAAACAGAGGGGGGAAAATTCACTCTGGATAAATCATGGCAATTAAGTAATTAATACACAGTTTAACCATGAGGTGGATAAATTGAGGAGGTTTCTCCTCCGAAGTGTTGACATCATGTGATCAGGTTTTCTGGTTGTAGCTTAGCCCCATCTAGAGATTTACTATCTCCCTAAGGGAGCATCACTGACTTGATGGCAGAGTAGATGGGAATAGAGTGCTAAGTTTTGTTTGTGCTATTTATTACATTCCGTGTAAAAATCTCAGCGAATCATTGGTCATAGCAACTATTTCAGACAAGCTGAACCAAGCAGAGTCCTGTTCCCTAAGAGTTTGAGGTCAAAGTCAGGAAGAAAAGGCCTCCTCTTACCACAAAGTTTAACTGATAAAATAGGAGTTAGGAATAGTGATAACCACTGAATGAACTTTAGCACTATAACATCATTTGGGCTGGGCTTGCACCCAGAGAATCCCACAGCAGTTTATACACTGGCTCCCTTTCACACTCCACCATGCTGAAGGTCAGACATGTTACTTAGCCATCTATGAAGTCTTAACATTTTCAAGGACTAAAGACATGGCCTTATTTAAGTTCCTGAGAAAATGCAACACTACGAACAAAGGTCATCAACTTCAGAGTCAATTAGGCCCAGAAGTAAAGTAAATACATGCAGATTTGAGCAAACTGCTTTTAAAGAACTTGAGATAGTGACAAGCTATGTTAGAGACTCAATAAATGTGAGTTCCTCATAGAAACCTTCACTCCAATTCAAGAATAAAAGTTGTCCACTGAAAAATGAGGGGAGTAAGCCCAAGAAGAAAATGCAATCTTCAATAGGGAGTATTTTCTAATTTTTTTTTAAAAAAGTAAATTTTATTCAAATTTATATGGAGAAAACATTTTTAAGGAACTCAATAGAGGTAATTGAATGCTCATTGATTGGATGTTAGAATCAAATGCAGAGCCACAGACAGAATACTACAAAACTCTAAAAACTCCACCCATATGAACTTCTCCAACTCACCAGAGCGTTCAGATGAAACTCTTGGAAGTGGCACATAGAAGCATTCTGAGATTACCACCAGGACCTGGAGAGAACAAAATGACTCCACACTGAGTAAAGAAAACAAACTGCCATCCAGACTCAACATCAGATTTGTGTCCCATACACAGACATCCTTCGACAGATACTTAGCAGCTAGTCACAGCCTTCAGAAAGATACAGATGAGCTAAAGGGTACTCCAAGGATATGGAATAGTCTTGTTTTTTTTTTTTTTTTTTTTTGAAAAAAAAAACTGCCCACATAAAAGAAAATTCTGCAATTGAGAATTAAATTCTATTTTAAGCAGAGACTGGCTGGCTTCACCTCTTATCTTGACTGTATGTGTGATTTTATACTATATTAAACAAGTCTTTTTTTTCCCTTGAAAAACTACAAATTTCTTAAGGGAATGATAACCTCTGTCCTTGTTCCATACCCAGAGACAAGCATGGGTCATATTAATGAAACTGCTGGCTTGTGCCCAGAAGTGTAGAGTTATATGGAACCAGACTCTCCAACTGCAACATTTCACTGCTCTGTGTTAGCAAACAGAAGAAAGATCACACCTGGAAGAAGCCGCCCATGTAAATACCACCCAACTCTTGTTCTTCTTGTAGATGTCCATTAGGCATTCTACCTGACTGGCCTTGGACTTTGCAATTCTCTCCCAGCCTCCTGGCTACAGGAATACAGGCACTGCTATTAGAGGCATGGCACACATGCATAGTTTGCGTGCATATTTCCTCTTTTTGTTAGTCAACCTACAGAGGAAGGCTTCTTTTTGAATAAGCGACCAGATTTCAAAAACAGGAATAGCACTCTATTATACTACTATTTTACAGGTGCTTTAAAATTTTAATTGTTGAAGCCATACTCCTTTGGATTGCATTAAAAAACAAATGCATCCTACTTTGTATTTAGGACTATAACTATGCATATATTCATTTGTTTAACTTAGGTTCAAGATCCATGTTAACAGCTAAGGTAGAAATGTTGAAGAGGGCAGCAGTTTAACTATAAAGAAATACAGCTGAAGTGTTTCATATGAGCCATAAATAAAGCACTCTGATACTTTAGAGATAGAGATTACATTCAATGTAGGGTTCAGACTTCCACTTGACAGAGGAGGATCTAAGGTCCTAGACACAGCAGACGATGGGAAATGGCTGTCCGGCTCCTCTAGTTTCTCCAAGTGGAGTTACTAATATTTATGGATATATAGAGGACCAGGAATTGCAGGCAATGGCACCCATAAGAGAAGACAATGGGGTGAAGGAAAGGAAAGACTTGTGGGTTGAGAAGTAAGTCTCAAGCTGTTTAACTGGTTTAGACAGCAAAGATTAAAACATTTCCATCTGAAAGACCAAGTTTGCAAATCAAATTTTTAAAGTGAATGTCATGTGTTTACTAACTTTGGTGACTTTATTTTTATTTAATTTCACAAGGAGGTAGAACATTTTAATAATCCAATGTTTCTGGAATTTCCAACAACTTCCAGAGAGAGCAAGTGACATGTACAACAGTATTGGGCTCTATGGAAAGCTAACTGGGTACCACAGCCTAGAAGAGACTCACAGTTCAGTCTTGCCTTTTTCTAGCATTGGCTATGTGGCCTTGGACAGGTCATTTAACTATGTTCCCACACCATCACTCATAAAGTTGTTCATGTGCTAGTCCATCATCAAGATCTGTTTATGTTGTACACAATCCATTATGTCTTCTTCCTCAGAAACAAGGATGAAAGTCTATTCTTAATAGATGCTCTCAGTTCAAGACTGCTTTCTGTTTCAAAAGCCATTGTCAGTTTCTAAGTTACTACAAGCATCTCATAACCCTCCTAAATATTATTTTAATCTAACTTTCCAAGCAAACTCTATGCATAGGCATGAAATTCTAAACCTCAGCTGAGCAGTATTCACTGGTTTTGCCATACCCACCTATACTGCCAATGTCTCCACCTTTGATTCACCTAGGATCTTTCTCATACTGTTTACCCTGAAAGAACCCATACTCATGTAGTTTCCAAACACTCTGATTAAAAAAGAAAAAAGATGTTTTGATTTGCATTTCCCTGATTGCTAATGAGGTTGAGCATGACCTTAGGTGTCTTTTGGCCATTTGAACTTCTTCTTTTGAGAATTCTCTGTTCAGTTCAGTGCCCCATTTTTTTAATTGGGTTAATTAGCATTTTAAAGTCTAGATTCTTGAGTTCTTTATATATTTTGGAGATCAGACCTTTGTCTGTTGCGCGGTTGGTGAAGATCTTCTCCCAGTCAGTAGGTTGCCTTTTTGTCTTAGTGACAGTGTCCTTTGCTTTACAGAAGCTTCTCAGCTTTAGTAGGTCCCATTTATTCAATGTTG